TAATCTGGTGTAAGCGGACACATGTCTGTTAACATCCAATTCCCCATAGACTGACATGGATCCGGTCATTTCAGTTTTTTTCCTCCATCGTAAGATGGAGGAGAGAACTGGACGGAGACAGTGGTGACATCTGATCCATACCATGCCGATCAGAAGGGGATCCGTGCACAGATCTTCTTCCCATTAGCCTTAAAGTGGAACACCACTTTTGTTGAGAAGAAAAAAAAAATCCCCTCTGGGTGATCACTGTACATGTCAAGGATTGTAATAAACTTTGTTGCAGATTTTGACCTTTTCCTGTTCTAAAAAAAGTGGTTTGTTTCACCATGTCCTTCCCCGACAGATTCCTGAATTGAATTTGAGGGTCTGGGTTCAGGTTCATTATAACCACCTGGCGCACTTTCAATTTTCTAAGACGAGAGTTGCAATGTCTGCATCCATTTAGAAGTAGTCAACCCTTAGGGCTCATTCACATGGGCGCAGACAGTCTGTGTCACTCTCTCACTCTCTCTCTCTTCCCGCCCCCCCCCCCCCCCCTCCCTCCCAGGAGCAGGTCTCTGCACAGGCATGCATACTATAGAGATGTGCAAGCCCATGTAAATGAGCCCTAATGGAGCATCTTAGCAGAAATACATTTCTATGGCAGGGGACTCCTAAACTTTTGACATGCAGGAAATCTGTGAACCAATCACACAAGCAAAACATTTTATTCCTGGGGGCATTCTACCAACCAACTGTGTACAGAGTGCCTGGTTGTAATGAACACAGCACCTTATAAGCCTTCAATTGATATACAAATGACAGATTATGATAAAAATGATACAGCATTTGCTGTGGGAAGTTCTACCTGGGGTAGCGGAGAGCCCAGCATTTGCACCAGACAAGGTGAGAAGGCCGCCTTCTTTAAGGTGCTTTGTGGCAAGATGGCTGGATATGGTTGAGGTCCAAACGCTCTGTTTCCACATCAGGTTGCAGTTCTTATAAAATGCTGGGAATTAAGAAAGCAAATATAAAATGTAATTCAACCCAACACAGCTCTAAAAAGGACAAATGGCATTCTGATAATGAAATATTGGTTTTATTTAAGACTTAAGAGCAGTGGTGTTCAACTGAATTCATGAAAAGGGACCTTAAGTGCGGCTCCTGCCATCACCACACATTAAAAAAAAACCCACTGAGGCCATCGATCTTGATGCCTCATAGGGCTGTGCGTGCTGGGGAATGCCTTACCCAAAATCAGAAGGTACCACACATCACTGTGTAGGTTACGGATAACAGCAGGCCACCCTAGGTAAGGCCCATATATGATGCTGAGCCTCCATGATTGAAAGAACTGAAATCCAATGAAGGAAAGGGGTGGGCCAGGGACAGTAAGGATGGGGAGTAGAGTACCAAATGATGTTGGATGTCCTCCAGCCAGGAAATGAGGTGGGCTCCATGACTTGCTTGCAGCTGGTAATGCAAACTGTGAGAAGCGCAATTGCAGTACAGGGCAGCAGCCTGCACAACTGTGCAAAGCTGACGAGAGGCCTGGAGTTCAGTTCTAAATATGCCATTACTGGAATTCTAGAGAATATATTGTCTGCATTATTTCAATTTATTTGCATTTATTAAATTTAAAAAAACCCCACAACATGTATCAGACATTTTGTATATGTGTTAAATACAGTTTTTCATTTATAAAATAAAAAGTCTTCTCTTCCCGATCAATAAAGGCAGCCAAGATAAACATGGGGAACTGTTATCTTGTCATGCTTAGAAAACATTAGCTAAGGGAACTGCTGATCTACCAGAGAGAGCTGAGGTCAATAGACAAAGAATAAACAATCATGCACTGCGGGACAAATCAAACAGTCAGTAGAATTTGCTGATACATTTAAAGAGCTCCATCATTTTGAACAATTAACCCTTTGTGTTATTATAACCTTGCAGTGAGGCTACACCCGCAATGGACTGCTGAGGACTGCCTTGCCCCGGGAGTCCATTGAAGAAAAAAAAAAGGGGGGGGCTGATGCATGGCAAATGCAGAAAAACGCATACAAACCTGACATGCAGTAACACAACGCAGGGCCTTAGACTGGGGTGCCTCAAGATTTTGCATAGTTCAAGTGTCCCATCACTCAAAAAAAGGTTGAGAAACATTGCCTTAGACAACCAGAGTCCAGTGGAGAAGAGGCTGCAGGGACCGGTCTAGCAGCTAGGCGGGAGTGAGGTTCGGTTAAGTATTTTATTTCTTTTTGACCCCTAGATCAAAACAAGCAGTGGACTGCCCCCACACTGCAAGGGTTCATTTTCCAAAGTTCTGGAGTTCCACTTAAAATGCAACATAATCCCAACAATGAACGTCTCTTCTTCCTGGACGTCATACATTGTACCAAATACAAATCAAACAGGAAGAAAAGAATTTGGGCTGAAAAGAAAGCACTTCAATTAGCAGAGTGCTTCTACCCGCCAGTGCGAGGCACGGCAGCAGAGCCGCTCTTTCCTTTACTAAAATAAGACATTATAAGATTTCCTCCAGTGATCACCCTGCAAGCGGAATTACAGACAGACAGTCACCAGGATTTCTACACCCAAATGACAAAACAATCATTCTTCACAGAAACGCTGCAACTTCAAACGTCATTAAAAGCAACTTGAGCAGTTGTACATGTGGAATATATTAGAGGCCATATTGTAGATTGCTAGCAGACACACAGATGGCTGAAAAGGCTGACTCACTCTGAGATGGTCTCTTCTAACCCATCGTCTATGCAGCGGGGAGACTGTCCTTTGATGTGACGCAGGTTGTATATCCACATTTATGAGCATTGCTGAAAGCAGCGAGTGGAACAGACATGATGACCGCTGACCAGGCCCTTGCTCAGCCATTGACACTGAATCACATGTATAAAATATAAAGCAATATGAATCTCCACAGATCAATTCCAACCTACTTATGTCATTCTGCATAGAACCATCCTTCTGAACTACAAGTGAACATCTGAACAATGTAACATTATCATTGCTTGCTGGAGCAATGCATGATGGGATATGTCGTCTTGAGAAATAGAGATTATATCACATCAAGCAGCAGGGAAATAAACACACTGGGAATCCAGGAAGTTGATGAAAGTGTTGGGCAGACGGAAGGCAGCACTCGCTACATAAAAGGAGTTTTTAGAAGTAAGCTTTGATAGCATTATTAAAAACAACTCTATTATGTATTCCTATTACAATGCTGATGTTATAACAGGATAGTATACTGGCCGCAATGCGATCGCCCGCACGGGATCCCAAGGCACATTGTGCCTGCAGTGTGGTCCGGTGCGATCAAAATCCTGCAAGCACTATTTTGATCGCACCGCACAATGTGCCTTGCGATCCCGTGCGGGCAATCGCATTGCAGCCAGAGGGTGTGGCTACGGTGCACTTGAATGGTCCGCCACACCCCCTCCAGCTCGGCAAAAAAGTGAGCTGGCCGCAATGCGAGGCAGTGCGTTCGGGCCAGAATCGGACCGGAACGCACTGCATATGGTGTGAAGTAACCCTAATGGTTGTAGGCATTCTGTGACATCAGTGAGCTGGACAGAGCCAGAGGCAAAAGTACAAAAACCGTGGAACCAGCACACGATGATCTTCCAAAGAAATACAAACTTTATTCCACATGCATCTGTACAAAGCACGACCGCTGACGTGTTTCTGCCTTACTTAGGCTCAGCCATAGCCTATGACTAAGGCTGAGTAAGGCAGAAACGCGTCAGCGGTCGTGCTTTGTACAGATGCATGTGGAATAAAGTTTGAATTTCTTTGGAAGATCATCGTGTGCTGGTTCCACAGTTTTTGAGCCTATTACTCTGGAAGAGAGTCATCCGTGCACCGAATGTGGATTGCGGGACACATGATAGGGTTGAGCTGTGCGCTTCTTGTTTTCAGTTTACCAGAGGCAAAGGTAAGCCAGTATCATCTACATGCCAGAGACATGGGGATTCTTACTTGAACCTTGGTGTGTTTTGTGTATTTCTTCCATATCTGTGCAGTTATTCAGTGTGAAAAACCTGGAACTTCCTGTACTAGAGACCGGTCACTGCTGCTCTCTCTCCCTTGTGCAGGGTGACTGGTCTTGTATCCGCCCCCTCCTCCAGTCTGTAGTAAGAGCACCACCCACAGCTCAGCACAGGCTATATACAGCTCAGAGCCAATCTCACTGCTGCAATGGCATTCGGTGCACAAAGTGGATTTATATTCTTTGTGGCTATTGCGGAATAGATGTCAATGAAACATTTTGTGTCCGGAGTTCAGGTTTAAAATAGGAGGCATCTTGTGGTCTACATAATATACTCGTTTAGCAGAATATATTGGTTTTGCAGAACGGGAACTCACATTTGGCTTTTGCAGAGCCTCCAGCCCAGCCGCCAGCTACGCAAAGGATGGCATCCACCTTGTCTCCCTTAAGGAGCTGGTCTACTGCAGACGTGACCTGATGTAAAGTAAAAGTAAAAATTAAATAAAGTGCTGACCAAGCTCAGATTCTGAGAACAAGTTATATCAGTATAATGACTCATGTCCAATACAACCAACAGAGTCCAACAGATCCAAATGGTGCAACTGGTGCCCCAGAATGCCTAGCTGGAACATCTTTCTGCCTTATAGCCTATTTAACAAGGTATTCATTAAAGATAGCTTTACCGGCAAGATATCACGGATGGTTTCACTCTCTGCATCAATTATTTATTTTACTGAAGAATATAAATACTAACACCAAATCCTACTACATTTTACACATTTGTCATCATATTTGTCCCTCAAAAGACAGGTTCCTTAACAGAGTCACACTCAGACACATACACACAAACATTTCACTGCATGTCATACTTGTACGATTATGTATGTGACAAATAAATCTGAATTGAATTGAAATCTGAATTGAAACATTCAAGCCGCCAGTATGCTGTTGGACTGTAGGAGAAATTAGGAGCACCAAAAGGGGTCACTGCAAACATAGGGAGAACATACAATTCCACACACATAGGGGCTCATGTATAAACCACATGTATGCCACACACATAGGGGCTCATATATAAACCCTTTGCCCTATATAAAACTAGGCTGTAATACAGAAGATATAATGACTTGATCCTCGATCTTGCAGTGGTGACCGCTCACCTCTCTACCCCTCTACTCTGATGGCGGAATGTCCATCGGCAACCTCACATCTAATGCAGCTGCATTAGACGTGAAGGCACCACTGGTCCTTAGACCGCCGGAGTCTGGGGGAGAAGAGGCTTCAGGGACTGATCTAGCAGCCAGGCAGAACCGAGGATCAAGTGAGTATATCTTCCTCATTTTAGCCCCCTAGACCATAAAGAGCAATTAACCCTTGCAATGTGGAGGTAAATGCCATAGCCATGACTGTTAGTTGACCTGTGGCTGCGCCACAAAAAAAGGTATTATTTTGGGAAATAAAATGCAGACAGAAGAAAAAAATTAAATGTTACAGATACAGAATTACCAGCTGTAATAAAGTTAGTCTACTGAAAAATGATCTTTCACTTTTTAGCAGATGCTGGACAGTTAACTCACGCAACAGATTCTTATAAATCTCTCTGGGACTGTTGGTGGCATCTGTGTGCTCCATTTCCCAGATCTACACACCAGCTCTACCCATAGTGAAAATTGCAATCTCATTGAAGAATAGGAACATAGAGAGGAACTATGGCATGGAGATCACTATTGGGAGGATCCAAGACACAGGACAAGACTCAGCCCACCAGCTCCACCTATATCATATTTGAGTGGACAAACCCTTTAATATTGCCGATTTGTAAAGTGCGAAAATATTTCTTAGATTGAAAAGCATTCTCCACCTTTCAGACCAAGTTTCATGTTACACCCATATTTCGGATGTAACACAGAACATGGTCAAATTCCCTAGCCGCCCTCCCTCAATCTGCCCCCCTCCACACTTACCAGAATTGTGGGGTTCTTCTGCAGGCTACAGTATTTTTTTTTGCTTCTCCTGCACAGTTGCGTCATTCATTCACAGAATCTGCCACTGAGGCAGAGACTCGTAGATCTCAATTAAGTGATGTCACTGAACTTGTAGTCCATGGATTACTTCCTCCAGCCCTATAACAGAAGGTCTGTACCTCAATACGGACCTGGGGCTGAAGGAAATGTCTGCAGGAACCTGAACATTGCATCTACGAATTATTGATCACAATGCTTTATAGGCTCCAATGCAATATATATATATATATATATATATATTTTTTTTTTAATCTATATATAATATATATATCAGATGCTCATTTTTTTCAGCAATGCGTGTGCATTATAACATTTTCCAAAAGGTGGACTATGTCTTTAAGTGACTCAGCCAAAATACAGTATCTGAATACTATGTATGAACTATCTGCTCTGCCAAGCTACCCAAAGACAAAGGACAACTCCCACTCCACAGCCCGGGAACCATGAGCACTATCAACTATCAATGCTCATGAAAAAAGTCAGGTTCAGTTTGATCAGAAGTCAGGTAGCAATGAGCATGTTTTTGGGTTGTAGGAGAATCTGAATGAACCCCATTTAATCATACGATAGAACACACCAATGCAAGTGTAGCCCATTTGCCCTAAGTTGAGTGGCTATTTGAATTTAGTTTTGCTGGGACTGTAATCATTCTGGCTGATTTGTAGTCTGTGATCATTTGGTTATTTGTAGGTGCTCTGCTATTGTCTGTACCTACCTGTAGTTGGGTGTGACCATGCCACAGAGTGGGGCAGCCAATGAGAGAACTAGGAGTTTCATGGCCAGTGGTGCATGCTGGGGAAGTGCATAAATACTCAGCAATTGCCATGTGCTCAGGTCAATTTATCCCCGGGCCAAGCCTCGGGGTAGAATGCCCACAGTTAGAGAAGCTAGCTAGGCCTGAAGCCAGCAGGAGGCCAGATGTGGACCCAGGTGTCTGGAACTGTCTGGGATGGAGAACCAGAGGAGCCCTTTGTCTGCTGAAGGTGCCAGGAAAGCCAAAATGGCATGGGCCTCAAGAACAAATCTGGTGTCTCATCCAGGGAATATCTCAAGGAAGTATCCTGTCCAGTTGTGGTTCTATTGCACAGTGCCATTTTCTGTTCAACTAAAGTATTCATGCACTGTGGAAGCCTGGAGGGATTGGGGAGTCTGGGGTCTATTTTGCCCATGGATGTCTGTAGCCCTATACCCGCTCTCCCAGTTTTGGCTTTTCTACAATAAAGCATTGAAAAAGTGACTGGCGCCCATTTACTGTTCACATCCCACAACCCGACTAAGGATCCATCCTTGAGTGAAATGTCAGCCTTCCCTGCCTCTGGAGTTCACCACATGCCCTTTGGGGGGGGGGGGGGGGGCCAGACACCAA